CCCCGAAACCAAAGTTTCTCAGCGGATTTGGGCTGTACTCAGCAAGCGCAGTACAGACCCGAAGTCAGAACAAAAAAAAAATCAGAGGAAGACTGTTTTCTGAGCCGTCGGCTACCGCCGACCGGTCGGCCCCGATCGGTCGGTACAATACGGTCGGCGGGGATGCAACCCTGCCGGGTGCTCTATTCAGGTGAAGAAGGAAGTCAGTATCTGGAGACATCAGAGAGAGAGAGAAAAACTTCTTCTTTTTCTTAATCTGCTTCTTCTTCGTCTTCTTCTCATCCCCTCCATATCTGCCTCCTCCTGCCTTGCTTCCGAGAGAGAAGATTGCTTGTTTTTTTTTTGTTTTTTTTTTTTTTTAATACCAAGAAAGAGCAGCCCCTTCTATTCTTGGGGGCATCAGTCCGGTTGCTCATCACCGGCAAGCCTGGAAAACAAAATACAGTTTGGTTTAGAAGAGAAGAGGAAAGCCTTGCCCTTGCGGCCCTAGACGCCTCTCAAGGGGGGGATTGCTACAACCAAAACCCACTTCCCATACCATAGCCTCCCCAGGGATACCTCTGTTGGTCGGGAAGCTTCCTAGCAACACCCAGCCACTCAACAGATGGGTCCCCAGGGAAGGCCTGGCTCAGGGGGGCTGTTCTAGCAATCTCGCGGACCTCTCATCGTGTTAAACCCTTCCTCTGTTTCCCCATTAAAATCCTCTGGCTACCATCTAATATTTACAGCACTCGCCCTCATACCACCCTCCAGTCTCTACTACGCACTCCTTTATACAGCCTACCCCGAGTATCTCTTATATTCTCAAGTATCATCTACATCTGAGCCCTGTCACCTTTATTTTTATATCTACCCTGCTGACATGTTTACAAACTCACCCTTGCCTTATTTGCCCGCCCCCTAGTTCACAACCCATTCTGAGGGCAGTAGGTTTCTCTTGTCTCATCATGGAGAAACCTTACTGAGCACCTGTGGCCAAAATAGGCCCCTTATTCTAAGTTATACAAAAAACCTTCATAAATGCCTGAAGCCAGGTAGGCCATCCATATTCTAGTTGAATCTAATTGAATCTTGTCCCCAGCAGTATATTCACCAGTATATTCAGCACTCAAATATATCCCATGTCCCTTCCTCTGTCATCCCCCTTTTTTTCATTTTTCAGTTTTAGCTTGCCCTCCCGTTCCCCCACTACCCCCTACTGTCTACCCTTCTCTCTCTACTCCCATTTCCTCCCATTCCCTTACAACCTATCTACCCAATCCCCAATCTACTCTATCGACTGACTGCTGCTTGTGTCCTCCTTTTCCAAACTGGGCACATAGTGTTGCAGGGCTGGTCCAAACTGCAACTGT